TATCGCGTATAAATAAAATTAAGTATAAAGGACAGGGGGAATCATATCTAAAAAAGTAGTGCTCTAGAATTTAAAACTATGGTTTGAAATTATATATTGGTTTTTTTTCTTCATATCAAAGGTTATTCTATCTCTCTGACCCAAATAACAAAAATATTAATGTATCGGAATATTAAAAAAAAAATTATATTGAAATGGTTTAACGATGCTATAGTGAAGAAATTAATAACTGATAATGAGTGTGACGGATAAACGGTAGAGAGAAAGGTGTTTATGCTTGTTGCACAGTTTTCCTTTAGAAATTACAATTTGCAAATTTAAGATGTGTGGAAACATAACCGCACAATTGTACAACAATGAAATCTAATAGTAAAAGAGAAACCTAAGAGAAATTAATCAAAACGTTTGATTACTTACAACGAAATCTAAATCAGATTCATTGTAGTCACAATTCTCTATTGGAAGTAAGTTTTGGGTAGGTGGAAAAAGTGCTTAAGTATTTGGGGGAGGATAGAAATTTTTTGAAAAAGAGAAGTCTACTTGTATTATTGAATGGTTATAGTTTTTGACTTGATACAAACTCAAATATATCACTTCTACTTATACTAGAGGCATTCTAAAATCATCGATTGAAATTTTGCCACCACAAATTTAATCTAATGGCTATAAATCACTTTCTAGAAATTTCTCTACTATTATAGAATTTTTTTCGAAAGTTACCCTTATCTTCTAGAGAGCTCCAAAATTCTCTCTAGAATATACTTCTAGAAGTTGGACTTATTACAACAAAAATTTGGGCTTAAAATTCCTAAGGCCCAAAAACTTACAAATCCAAAATCAAACTTAATATTTAACACCCCATTCCACCTTGAACTGACACCCGCACATAATTTTATAATGATAAAAATATCATTCTCATTATTTACATTTTAATAATTTACATTTGACAAAAAAAGATTACTCTGTAAAATTGATTAAAAAAATTCGATAGTTATAATTTAGAATTATCTAGTAAAAACAATTTTGCAACATGCAAAGTTTATGCATTTTAACCAGAATTTTTAAAATCAGATATTTTGTTGCATTTATACAGAGTTTTTTTTTAAAAAAATTCAATATTTTGTTGCAGGTTTATTATATTTTTTTGAACAGTGTAACATTTTTTAAGTACGAGTGTATGCTTGTGTAAAGGGTTTCAAAAAATTCAGCAAATTTCTATTGGATATTTATAAATTTCTAGAAAATATTAAAAAGTGCTAGATTTTTTGAAACATTCCATAGTTCACTATGATTCATTTGTGCAATCCAGATCCTCATGGTTCACCTATAGATTTTATAGAATTTTCTTCATTGACGTTGTATGTTGACTGACATGTTTAATTTTTAACTTGTAACTTGTAAATGATAGATATTTTTCTCTCTATCTGACGTTTTAGCATAGGCACAATTCGTTAGTGCCATAACATGGTATTTTTGTTGTTACTATTCATTCTAATACCGCAAATGAGATCATAGGAAAAAAGATAAATTGATTATAGATTGTGAGAGATGAGTAAACTACAAAAAGAAAGAATGTGTCTAAAGGTTGTTATAGTATGAAAGTGAATTGTCCATTTATGCTGAGATCTTTGCCAAGTTGAAGCGGTTGAAAGGCTATATTTACGTGTGGGTTTCATAATCATATACTAGCTAAGGATTTATTTGGCTATGACGTATTAGGTCGTTTAAAAGATAATGAAAGAAAGTTTGTGAAGGACATGTCTAAATTCAATATGGCTCCAAAATAACTAATTTTTAATTAAAAGATAGAGATCTAGAAACAAGGCGAGTGTTATACAAGTGTATAAGGAAATATATACATATAAGACGAGCAAGTGAGATCTAATAACTGAAATGAAACGTCCGCTGAGTATTATTTATGAATAGAAATAAATGTATTGGACTAGAAATATAGATGCTTCAGATGTTGTGGTTGATATCTTTTGGACACATCCTGAATCACTGAAGTTGTTGAACATGTTTTATATGCTGTTAATTTTTTATCGTACATACAAAACAAATAGGTACTGCATGCTTCAACTGCTTCTATTTTCATTTCTTTGGTTCTAGGTTGGAAGCTGTTAACTTTTTATTGGACATAAAAGAAATAGGTACCAGCTACCACAACTCTAGATGGTTGGTGTTACATCCACAAAGTTTACGTTTTTTGTTGAATTTGTAATAAGTGATAAATACATCATATTTCTTGTTTGTTTTTTCCCCTTTTCGTGTATGTTTTCATTATTTTAGTTATATTTTATGTGATTTTGTCTTAATACATATTTAAGCATGTTATTTGTAAAAATCCTTCCTACATCTAAATTGTTTGTTATTACATGAGGTGTCATTACATGTAAAAAATAGTCAGTTGGAGGATAATATTAATATATTTAGTTTTGACTGACTCTGAGAGTGAGAGCCACATTGAATACAGATTCCAATATAAAATTATAAAAAATAAGAGATATGGACTTTTGTATTTCTTACTTGTTTTCTTTTCATTCTCATGTGTGGTTTGGTTATTTTAATGATGTTTTATGCGCTTTTGTATTAATAAATATTTAAACAAGTTATTTGTAACAATCCTTCTTACATCTAAATTGTCTCTTATAATCTTATTACATGTGGATCACTACATGTAAAAAATATTTGGTTGGAGGATAATATAAATATATGTAGCTTTGACTGACTCTAAGAGTGCGAGCACATTGAATGCAGATCACAACAGAAAAAAGAAAGATATGAAATATTGTAATACGCCTCACACATTTTATTACTTTCATTAACTATAAATTATAGTTAAGTAGGGCATCAGACAATATAGAAACTTAACATATAATCCAACCAAATAAGGTATAAATACAATTATTGTTATCTCATAACATGCCCACTTTACCGGCTTGAGCATTATAGTAAGTCCTAAGCTCTAAACTCTTCTTTCTTACCTAGGATACTTTGGATGGAAAGTTGGGTCCGAATTGTTACATAAATTGTTACATATTTTCTTATGAGTTTTAAAACTCTAAAATATTTCAATGACTTAATATTAACAGATAATAATTATGTCTATAAACATTGTAAATAGTTTTGTGCAAACTCTTCTTGATAGAGTTCTAAATAAGCATAGTTTAGTGATGTGATCCTTTAATAATAAACAAGCATATGTATATTGGTCTTGTGCTAAGCTTTTAATTGTTTTCTTATATCAAGATAAATTTAATCAGTATCCTATTTTACAGCAATAAACTAAAAATTCTATTTTACATCCCACGCGTCATGCAATAATTGTCACATGTAATCTCATTTTTTACTTTATTTAGTAAATTATTAGAATTAGTTGAATATTTAATACCTTATTTAAATAAAAGACAAGATTTAGTAAAATTTATAATATTTTAAATATTGATTGTGAATGATTGTACATGAAAATAAACATTAATTGATTTTAATTAAAATTTTCAAACTCTAAATATTAAAAGAGGGGTGATAGAAAAAGAAAGAGGCAAAAATTATTTATATTACCAATTTATAGAAACAAGTCCTAAAAATTTAAGGATGAATATTAAAATTAAATGAGATTCTAAACTTTAAGAAAGAAATATTATGATAGAAAATATAAATGTAAAATTTTAACTTTAATAATAAATTTTATTAATTTAATGGGAGCTAAAAAAATCAATTAGTATTATTAAAAGAAAATATTGTTTTTTATGGGGGCTTCAGCCCCCAATCCATTGCATGTAGATCCGCCCAGGGTGAGGTCACTACCTATTAGAAAGATCAATTAATTTATGATAATGTTATAAATAGGTAATTAGTGAAATGCAATTATCATCCATGAAAATGAATAAAACAGTAAGTTTTAGAATAGTTTAGCATTTTTATATAATTTATCTCTCTTTCTTACACTACCAAAATCTTGTTCATAACAAATGGGTCTCTCGTTATCACGGATTCTCCTCCTAACCCTTACTATTATCACTACCATCATGACCTTACATTATTAATGTTCATACAATATTGAAACCACAAGCCCATCATTATTCCATGCCACCTTCTTTTCATGTTCCACTCCTCAGAATCTATTAATAAGAGATTAAGGAAATCTCAAATCAAAAGACAAATTATAAAAAGTCAAAAGAAAATTTTAACCAATCATACAAACAACACTACTTGCTCCCCTTCCTACCTAGGATCAACCAATTCCAAGAAAAAAGTTTAATGTCGAAAACAATATTGTCGACCTCAGTAACTACATTATTGAAAATACATTCATTTCTAGACCACCAAATACTCCAGCAGGTAATAAACCAAATCAAATTTAATCTATTCTCTTGACACCGACCTCTAAGGCTCGAGTTCCACACCTTCGCGTGAGAATAGCAGTAATTTTCAGAAATTATCTCTATATCCGCCCATTCGCAAATCTTGTTCCAAACCTGATTTGATTTAATGCACGAGAAGAAGAGGTGGGATACGTCCTCGAGACTACCAAAAAAAAACACGCAATCCAAGTCTTGCTCGGAATCAAACACCCTTCTTTTCAATAAATTAGATCTAGTTGACAATTTATCAAGCGTCAATCTCCAACTGAGAGTTTGCACTTTCGCCGGAATAACCATCTTCCAGAGAGACTCAAGATGGAATGCACATTCGGAACCAATATCTTGTTCAGATAAGGAGGGATATAGAATTGAATGAAAAGAACTAACCTTGAAAGACAAAGAATCATGAAGAAGCCACTGCCATTTATCGGACTCGTCGGGGATAACTGAGACATTTTCCAGCAGTTTACAGCACTCAGACCAATCTGGTTCAGGAGGGATGTTAGAATCGATCAAAGAATCTCTCATATTCCAATTCCACTGCCCTTCCTCCCAAAATCCCATTTCACAGACGGACACTGTCTTCATAGAATAACATTGAAACAAACCGTTAAATCTGACTTTAAACAGCATGTCTCAAATCCAAACTGACTGCCAGAACGCCACATCGTTTCCTTCATCAACGGAACAGGCCGTGAATTTGCAGAAGTTGGCATGTGAATTTAGGGACGCATTAGTCATAATATCCTTCATCCACAGCGAATCAGTTTTCGAACTATCAACGTCGAGGTAAGTTTGCGTCTTGATACAGAGGTTGCCGTATCTGTTAGTGAGGGTCTTCCTCCATATTTCATTGCCACCAGTTTGGAACCTCCAAAGCCATTTTGCCAACAAAGCAGTGTTGAACCGACCCACATGCTTAATACTCAGACCACCATCTTCCTTAGATTTACAGACAGAATTCCAAGAAACCCAAGGAATAAAAGTTTTGCTCGAGTTTCCAGCCCATAAGATCCGACGTTGGATCGCTATAATATCCTTCACGACTTTATGGGGAGCCTTGAAGAAAGTCAGATAATAGATAGCCAGATTAGCTAGAACTGAATTAATGAGGGTGACTCTGCCCCCCATAGACAAATTTCTCACATTCCAGTTGGATAATTTATTCCTCAAACACATCAGAACCGACTTCCAGAAGAGTATCGACGATGGTTGTCGCCAACAGTGATACCAAAGAAACTAAATGGAAACTTTCCAGATTTACAGTGAAGAAAGTCTTCAGCAGCCACAAGAAAATCAGGATCTACATGAATCCCATACAAACAGCTTTTAGAGTAATTTTGATTTGTGTAGAATCAAACCTATGTCCAACATCTAGAATCCATGAGGGAGGAATTGGAGTTGTTATTTTATAAATGCATAGGATATGTCCTCTTTATCGACACACTTAATCGAATTAGACTCTATTAAAAAGTTTAAATAAGTATGTTCTAATATTGTTTATAATTTTATATTATTTAGGCATTGCTCTATTAAAAATCTAAATAAGTGTGTTCTAATTTTGTTTATAGTTTTATAATTAATGTTATATTGTTTATAATTTTAACAAATGTTGCACATTAAAAAAAATTACTATCTAGATTGTTATACATTAATATGTTTAAAGAATATTAAAATTTACATTTCGAAGTATTGTTTTGCTATATGATTTATCTTGTGTTGTTGTGGTATTGTTTAAAAGATGAATGTACAAATTTGTTTAGTTTACATAAAATTGAAATGGTTAATATATATTTAAGCAAGTTATTTGTAACAATCTATCATCACATCTAAATTGTCTCTTATTACATGTGGAGTCATTACACGTAAAAATTAGTCCCTTGGAGGATAATATTAATATACTAGAAGTTAGATTTAAGTAGGTCATGATAAAATATACAAACTTAACATATAATACAATATAGCTAGAACTAGAAATGCTAATATCATTTCCATTAACTTTCTGGCTGGAGGTATGCAAAGATGAAAAGGACTTGGAATTTCTCAACTCATTCACACTATCTTCTGCTTGCTTTCTCTTCCTATCATTAATATCTTATTACATTCCCATTTTACCTTCATGAGATTTTCCACTTTCTCACCTGGGATACTTTGAATTGTTGCATAAATTATTCTGAGGTTAGATTTCTATCTTGAACCACAGGTAAAATCGACAATGAGCTTAATCCATTTTTCCCAAAGTAAGTTTAGTCAAGGAAATCACGGTCGAGAAACCAAAAAATATATCTAACAAGAAACAAATCAAATCGCATCGTATAGATTTCTGCTAAATGAATAAACTTCATCTTCAACTTAACTTGCTGCATAATTAAGATAAAGATTTAGTAAAGATCTGAATATCACATACAAATGAAATTAAATAGATGAGAAAACGAGATCTAAATAAATCTCATGGTAGCTTCGTTCAATTTAAATTTAAGCGGTGGAACTCTGTAAAATTGCGTTTTTATTCACATGCATGGATTTTTTTTATCTCTTAGGTCAAATAACAAAATTATTTATTGAGTTATTGTGTGTTTATAATATTGGTTAGATATAAACTCAAGTACATATCTCTATTTATACTAGTAACATTTTTAAATCAATGATTGAGATTTTTCTACCATATACTTAATCTAATGGCTATATATTATTCTTTAATATTTTCTATACTATTCTAGAAAAAATCAAACTCATCATTATCTTCTAGTTAGTTCCATAAATCTCTCTAGAATAGGTTTCTAGAAACTGGACCTATTACATAAATAAATTTGGACTTAAAACTTTTAAAACCCAAAAAATAACAAAACAAAAATCAATTTAAATATTCAAGACACCCTCGTTAGAGAGAATTTTATCCTGCCAACCCCCTTGTTAACATGTCAACCGCATATAATTATATAATGACAAAAATATCTCTTGTATTATTTACCTTTTAAAAATTTACATTCTATAAAAATATTTTACTTTGTAAAGTTGGTAAAAACAAAAAATTTGGTAGTTATTTATAAATATTTGGTGCAAAAATTTTCGTAAGAAAAGAATTTTAGAATTTGGTATGAGTTTCTTTCAAATTTTTTGAAAAATTCGATATATTGTTGCATTTATACCTGATTTTTAAAAAATGGCATTTTGTTGCATGTTTACTTGATTTTTAGAAAAAATATAGGATTTTTTTTCGCACCCTTCTTAGTATGTTTGAGTTACATGTTTATATTTTAATTGGATCAAAATTTAATCGGCTTATGATATCTCTAACATTTATAATTTATTCTATATATGTTGTAAATGTCACATATTAGCCTCTCGAGCCAACGTTTTGGCATGGACGCAGTATTTTGGTGAAAAATATGGTATTATTGTTATTTTGACATGAGCTGATATTATAAATACTCTCCTCCACAAGAGGGTCAGGTATTACAATCACCCGCTTTTTTGTATTTGCTCTCTCTTTCACTGTCTTTCTCACTTTAGTATCGGAGTGTCTTGCAAGAACACTCCCCCTTCTCTATCACCGCTGAATTTGAAGCTCGCGACGTGTTACTGGCTGCTGATCCTCTTTTTGATTCGGTAAGATCAATTATATGTATGAATTTTTTTCTAATAATGAATATTTGTGTAAAGTAGTAATTATATTGAATTAGTTAGAAATAATAAATATAAAATTCCTCAACTTGCAATTGGTATATCCTGTTAGTCATTTGCCTATAACTTTAGCTACAAATATATTTTAGGAGTGACACTAAATTCTTTAGAAACTATACATGATTTAGAATAAGATAGAATTTGATTTGGATCTTTTACATTCTTGAAAAGTTTAGAAAATGAACTGCAAGTTCAACTAAAGTTTTGAAATTCTGCTACACTATTATTTGACATACTGTTAGTAATTTGGATACAACTGAATCTACACAAATCCTTTAATACTAAACCTTATATCAAAAGAAAATAGACAAAGTTTACTACATATTAAACTTAATAAGTGTCCCATTCAATTTAAACACAGTATGAGAAGTACTACTTTTAAGTTGGACAATATATCCTGCTCTATAGAAAAATTCACCCCAAAGAACCAAAACCAAATAAAACCTTAAATGATAGCCTTTATAGTCCAAATATTATCAATCAATGGGTATGCTTAGATAAGAGTATAATATGAATACTGAATACGATAAACTACCATCATAATAGGACAAATTTAACCACTACTACATAAAACATACTAATAGGACAAATTTAACCACTACTACAAAAATATATACAACATTGGTTGGAAAAGGGGTTAACATCACGTGTGACATGTCGTTGTTACGTAGGGTGTGGTTATATATGCGCAACTTACAATCACGATCTTACGACCGTTGTAGAAAACCTTAATGTGCACTATATATGATCACATATTCGTTAACTAACTGTGGGGGTATATACCTTTAGGAAAATAATATTTTATAACAGTTGTTATAAATAATCGTTGTTGAAAGTATCCAGGGTTTATTATATAATTTGTAGATTACTTTTTTTCAATAAACCTCACAACAACATACAACCGTTCAAATTGATGAAAAAGTATATAATTTGAAAATTAAACTATTTTTAAAATCCAACTTAAACAAGCAACTATTTTCCAAATTATGTCTATCTCATCCTTTATCTCACACTGTTTAACATATATAATTAGGTTCAATGGTCTAATTCCTTCATCATATAAATTCCTTTTATTCTAGTTTAATTTGAATAATATAAATAAGTTGTTGTTATTCAAATTATATGAGAAGATATGGATATCTTGGAGAACTCAAATCATTGACCTATATTCTATAAGTTAAACCGACTGATCGGGAAAATAGCAAGTGTACTATTTTTACCAATTGTAGTAATAAGGGAAAAGTCCCAAGTATCGATCTCGAGGACTGCGTAGTAATTAACTGAATTTTTAGGATTCAATTGAACAAAAGGTCTAGTGGTTTGTTTGGTAGCAGAGTAATATCACAAGTAAATACGGACTTAATTAATCAATCTAAGAACAGTGTTAGGGGAGTGGAGACGACACGAGTAAAGACCCTGTATGATTATTCTACTATACTAGTTATTAACCTTAATTTATCAGTTGGCCACTTTAGTTGCCTTAATTCCTTAATGGAAACCCTTTGATGACAACACGGGTGGCTGTGTCAGGCTGCTGGCTTCTTCAAGGCGTGTGCCTCTCCAAGGGCTGCAACACGAGCCGTGTTGCATGACACGGGCACCCGTGTTGCAAGTCTGAGTCTTCTTTTTTCATCTGCTTTGGTCCACCCGTGTCTGCCAGTCGTGTCCTTCATGACACGGGTCGTGTTGTGCAACACGGGTACCCGTGTTGCAGCTCTGAGTTCCCTTTTTTGCCTTTTCTTTTCCTCCGAATGCGGTGTGATTGTCGTGATCTCCATTCCTGCCAAAAACACACTAAAAGAAACCAAATCAAACGCACCAGCGACAAAAGCAACATAAACTTCAAAATAAGACTCGAAGACACACAACTACGAGTAATGCAGATAGTAACAACTAAAGCTTCGAAAACTAGATAAAAACATTACGAAATTAACCACAAATAGCGTTTGAAAACACAACTGAAATCCACCGATCAAACTCCCCCGAACTTGAACTTTTGCTTGTCCTCAAGCAACAAGCTCACCAACCCGAACTTAATATCTCTTTTTTTTTTCTCATAACGGAACCGTCCATAGAATTGTGAGTTACGGTGATAATACACATACTTGAACTTCTCATTCCAAGTCCCCTAGGATTTATCTCGGCTTTTCCCTCAAAACAGGTAACCTGCAAACACTAGACTGCGGTAAGCCACATACCTCAGTCTCCCTATGGGTAACCTCTCCGACTATGCTTTGTACTTAAGTCTTCTTTTTCGATTTTCCTCCCTTTCATTCGGACAATCACTATATGGCTTTTATGATTTTCCTCATGTGCACAAGATTTATCAATGACATTTTTCTTTTTCTGGCACTGTTATTCTTTTTGAATGGCTTTCAGGTTCGACCGTCGTTGGGCTGAATAACCGGGTGAGGGTTACCCAACTTAGAAGGATTAGTCGCCTACTT